CAACACACACCTGTTCCATACCAAAGTGATATACCTGGACTACAAAGGGGAACAACACACACCTGTTCCATACCAAAGTGATATACCTGGACTAAAGATTAAACAATACTCACCTTTTCCATACCAAAGAGACATACCTGAACTACAAGGGGCAATTATACACACCTGTTCTGTTCCATACCAAAATGACATATTTTGACAACAACGTGCAAAAATACACACCTGTTCCATACCAAAGTGACGTACCTGGACTACAAGGTTCAAAAATACACACCTGTTCCATACTAAAGTGACGTACCTTGACTATAAGGTGCAAAATTACACACCTGTTCCATACCAAAGTGACGTACCTTGACTACAAAGGGGAACAATACACACATTATCTATACCAAAATTACATACCTGGAATCCTTCTTATGCATTTTTGTAGTAAACTATATCAAAATATTGAAAAAGCCGGGTCCCTGTGCCTGAAACAACAGGTAGTGACCTCGTGGTCTTTACCTTCGAAATAGCAAAAACCGCAGGTAACAGGGGTTATCCCACGTTTAACCAATAATAAAGGTAAGGCCAGGTAAAAGAAAAGACCAGATTAAAGGTGAGAATAATCCACTATTGTTAAGGATAGTAAAATCAAATTCAAAATGACGGAAAAGAGAAAAGAAATATTTATAGACAACACTCTGCAAACCCTATTTCAAAGCAAACAATAACTTTTATGTAAAAAAAAAAATATTATGCATGGGTGAAATATCGATGATACCATAATAAGGCAGTTTTGAACATGTGTATGGGAACACGCAAACCTATACGGCTGACCCCATCTATATTAGCTGCGGGAACCCTAGCTTCTAGGCCCAATTTTTTTTTTATTGTTATGGTCCGATAACAATTAAAAAAAAAAATCGGGCCTAGAAGCTACGGTTCCCGCAGCTACATCTATATATACATGTAGCATGAGATAAATTTATTTCACTTACCCTTAATATTTAATTTGTACAAAGCGATGTTATCTTATTACACGTTTAAGTTTATTACAGTTTGGCCTATGATCTAACATCAAACGTATCTTGCCTGTGACGATATGAATAATTTGGATATATTTGGTTTCTCAACACTTCTGTAAAGCTAACAATTACATACATTAAGTGGCAATAAACTTGATAACAATTAAGCGTAAATAGGCGCGAACACAAGTTTGAACACCCACTGCAAAAATAAAATAAACATAAAAAAACTATCCACACATCTTGTGTTATACATTTTAATGATTGATTTAAAAATTGTGACCTTCAAATGTTTCGTTATCAACTCTATGATAACAAGGAAACAAGATTTTTTTCATTTTAAAATGATCAAATGTTCCTCTTGTTTTCATATTTTGTATGGCGGACAATGTCAAAACGACAAGTACGTTACACATGCAGCTTTTTAATTTTATTAACTTTCCTAATACCAGTGGCTATATGTTTTTTGGGGTGTTTTTTTTATATGTTTTCATTGTTTAGCTATTTTAAATCTTATCAAAATCTAATCAAATGCTGATTATATTAAATCTTGATTAAAAATCTTTTTTTCCCCTTCTATAATCTACTATCTGCGATATTTGCAGTGCTCAAACTGCAAATATCAGTTTCACTGCACAGTTCACTCACATTTTAGCTTAGTCTTTGCTTTAAAATACTTTAACTATAATGACCAAGCTTCATAAAAACCCTATCCAAGTCAGTCCTATTTTATTAAATGCAGTAATGTTGTCCCACCTGATAAAAAGAATGACGATGTCCGTCGAACCACGGATATGTCGAATACCATGTATTCCTCAAACTATTGATCTGGACCCAACGAGTTCGAGTTAGCGGGGTTTTACTGTACTGTTTTACCGCTTCGGTCCAAAAATACCAAAAATGTATAAGTAAAGAAACGTTTACAACAACAAAAAAAACGTTTGTGTCTTTTATATTTTAAATGTCAATACAATGTATGGCATATTTTAAATATTTTCAGCTTACCTACCAAATTGACTATATTGTGTCTTTCTTATGTTAGGTCGACGAATGAACAACATATTACCGACAAACAGTTACACACTTAAGTTAATGCAACATTCGCATGCTGTGCTTCATTTTGTTTATATCAAGAATATAATTGAATTATGAGATTGAAACATAAGTTATAACATTTGGTGCAATAATGAAAGCCATCTCGACCTACTCTCTTTGCCTTCTAAGGTGTGACATTTGTGAACAGGTAAATAACACTAAACACACATATGTGTCCAATGCTGACAGCAGGAGGCCTAAGACACACCTGTATACCTGTATATAACATCAAAGGGATGACAGCAGGAGGCCTAAGACACACCTTTATACCTGTATATGACATCAAAGGGATGACAGCAGGAGGCCTAAGACACACCTTTATACCTGTATATGACATCAAAGGGATGACAGCAGGAGGCCCAAGACACACCTTTATACCTGTATATGACATCAAAGGGATGACAGCAGGAGGCCCAAGACACACCTTTATACCTGTATATGACATCAAAGGGATGACAGCAGGAGGCCCAAGACACACCTTTATACCTGTATATGACATCAAAGGGATGACAGCAGGAGGCCTAAGACACACCTTTATACCTGTATATGACATCAAAGGGATGACAGCAGGAGGCCCAAGACACACCTTTATACCTGTATATGACATCAAAGGGATGACAGCAGGAGGCCCAAGACACACCTTTATACCTGTATATGACATCAAAGGGATGACAGCAGGAGGCCCAAGACACACCTTTATACCTGTATATGACATCAAAGGGATGACAGCAGGAGGCCCAAGACACACCTTTATACCTGTATATGACATCAAAGGGATGACAGCAGGTACCCGAGTTTAGTTTAAAAAAAAGAAAACTGCGTGCAACGAACTCTATAACAAGTCTACGTGTGTAAAGTGATCATTTAAATTTCCTAATTGTAGTGATTTCAGTGTGAAATGAACATGCATTAAGAGACCACTAAAGAAACTATTATTTTGACTATCCAAGTGTGGATGTTTTTTGGTTATCATGTCTAGAGAGTGATGAAAGGAGAAATCTGGTTGTACTTTATTGCACCAACTTATGGATTACAATGTATGTATTTACGTCACATATCACTTTACTTCCATAAATCTTTAACTGCCCCTCTTTGCCTATATAACCCATAATAGTACTTGTTTAGGTATTGCAGCCCTTTGTTCATGACAGAGTCATCTTAAGCATTTAAAATGAGGGAAATTCATGTAATTTATAATTACAGGCACAGTTCACTCACATTTTAACTTAGTCTTTGCTTTAGAATACTTTAAATAATGACCAAGCTTCATAAAAACCCTATCCAAGTCAGTCCTATTTTATTAAATGCAGTAATGAAAAAGTCAGCCAATCAGAGTGCAGTAACTAATTGCAGTATGCTAATCAATTATGTGTGGATTTTGTACAATTTCAAACTTAGACGCTGACTTTTTATAGTGCAGTATTAACCAACAATCATGAGCTGTACGCCATGTTGAGCTAACAGGACTATGTATAACAGACCCTAGGTCATGTTTACTATATTTGATAGACTCAAACGTAAATAAACAGGCGAACATACCTGAAAACGAAATGGAATTTGCTGGCAGGAATATTCCAAGCAAAGATCAAAGTGATAGTCATTTTAGTCTGATTAAATGCCTTTGAAACCTGACTGGATGAAAATGATCACATAACATGTCAATATATGTACTAATGAAGCTACTTGATCTGAGCAATAGAATACAATTGAGGAGTGTTAAGTAATGTGCAAGTGCTTAATACATCCATAGTTAAGGCTGATATCACATAAAACAAGGCCATCTGAAGAACTTAAAGACGAGCTCCATGTATTTTCATCCTTTTTTCTTTACAGTTTTACATGAAGACATTAATGCAATATACATGAATGCAACAATGTCTCTGTTGCGATGTAAAAATCTTTATGAAAATATTATTCAATTACAAAGTTGTATCCATTTGGCTTTTTCATCAATAGAATTTTGATCTATAGGACATAACAAAAATAATATTATACTTCAAACAATTTACTCTTACTTTGCCTGTTTTTCCTTGAACTTTCGCTTGTCTTTGTTGCTGAGCTTTTTCTTTCGTTTGTTGGGATCAAAGTCTCCCTTCATGCTAAACTTGGCCAGTTCCACCTTGACCTTGTGACCTCTGAGCTCAGAGTCATCCAGAAACTTCATGGCAAGTTCCACAGATTCAACCTGTCCACGCAGAAAATATTGCCAATCAAAATCTTACCAATGTGTACAACATTTCAATGCATGACAAGAAAGAAGTCTGTTATCAGGTTCATTAAAAAAGAATACAGAATATTTTACAACAGATTAATTTAATAAATCATCAAGTCATTTAGAAGTTGAAAGATTTCAAAGATATAATTTTTCTGGCTCTGTAAGATTTTTGAAATATCACTGTTTTTCAGTATTCACAGGAAAAAAAAATACCAAAGATATTGGTTTTCACATACTGGGGTGCAATTTTGACCAATGGGAGGGTGACCTCCAAGTTAACAAGTTCTACATGCATTGCAGCTGTCCTATGAAGGTGTAAAACATGTTGTCGATACATAGCTTTTAGACATCAGAAACTAGAAAATATTTGTATGGTAATATCCTTTCTCATCCAGTAAACATTTGGTTTCTATCCTTTGTGGTTGTCCCCCTTGTCTGCCTATCCATCCCATTTAGGACGATACTCCCTCTGACGTTCAGTAATGGGTCTGTCCTATTTCAGATTTATCATATATATTTAACTCTACTTTTATGTAACAACATTTGCTGGCCCATTCAGAATTGGAAGCATTCTCCTTGTAGACCTTACCTTTATATCATAGCAATGAGCGTCCCCCTTAGGGTTCCCTTCGCTATCCTTGCAGACTTTACCATTATATAAAAGCATCGTCTGTCCCTTTTAGGCTTCCCTTCACTCTCCTTGTAGACCTTACCTTTATATCATAGCAATGTCCGTCCCCCTTAGGGTTCCCTTCGCTATCCTTGTAGACCTTACCTTTATATCATAGCAATGTGCGTCCTCCTTAGGCTTCCCTTCACTCTCCTTGTAGACCTTACCTTTATATCATAGCAATGTCCGTCCCCCTTAGGGTTCCCTTCGCTATCCTTGTAGACCTTACCTTTATATCATAGCAATGTGCGTCCTCCTTAGGCTTCCCTTCACTCTCCTTGTAGACCTTACCTTTATATCATAGCA